AGGAGGAGGGCGCTTTCCTGGGGTCCCGGCGACTCCAGGGGGGTCCTAGTGAGTGAGTGGGGCCGAGATGGGCAGGCATGTCCGCCCCCAGGCCCTGCGGCAGGGGGAGGACCCCCCTCCCTTGTCTGGGCAGCTTTGCCCTGTAGCTGGTGCCTGAGGGGGAGGGTGCCCTGGCCTCCAGAGTGGGCTGACCTTGGGTGGGGGGGCCAGGGTAGCCGGCCGAGCCCGCTGCTCCCTGGGTCCTGCCCCAGGCAGAGGTGGGTTGGCTGAGGGCGACTGGGTTCTGGTTTGGGGGGCAGAGCAGGGGCTGTGAGGCGGGAAGGTGGGCAGGAGGGCGTCAGGAGGCACCCTTTCTCCCCTCTGCCCAGGGAGAGTCTGCAGGGCCGGGCAGCACCTGGGTGGCAGGGAGAGCGAAACCAGGCTCCCTGGGCCAACCGGGCCCTCCCAGGCGTGGGCAAGAGGCAGCCTCACTCCGCCTCCTGGTCAGGCCCCTGCTGGGCGGGGGGAGCCGCTTGGGGCTGCTTCAGGTGGGTGGGAGCCGCAGCACCTGGCTTGGCGGAGGGGAGAGATTAACCCTTTGAAGGGCAGGTGCAGACGCAGCAGCCATGCTCAGCTGCCCAGCCCCCAGCTGGATCTAAGCGCGCTTTCCCGGCCCAGACCCCGCCCAGGGCTCCCTGTTGCCCCCGCCGAAGTCCAGGCTCCCCAGCACCTAGCAGTCCTTGTGGTCTGGCTTCTGCCAACCCTGCAGCCTCACCTCCTAGCAACTCCCTTCTGCGTTTTATGCTTCTGCAAAGCTAGATGCTGAGGACCAAGTCCCGGGAAGTGACTACCAACTCTCACAGGCGCCGAGTGCCAGGTCCCTAGGAGTAGGACTTGCAAGTCCTCGGAGGTGCTGGGTACTGAGTCCCTAGGAGTACTAAGTACCAAGTCCTTGGAGGTGCTGGGTACTGAGTCCCTGGGAGTACTAAGTACCAAATCCTCAGAGGTGCTGGTACTGAGTCCTGGGAATACAGAGTCCTGGGAGTACTAAGTACCAAGTCCTCGGAGGTTCTGGGTACTGAGTCCCTGGGAGCACTAAGTACCAAATCCTTGGAGGTACTGAGTGCTGAGTCTCTGGGAGTACTGAGTTCTGGGGAGTACTAAGTACCAAATCCTCGGAGGTGCTGGTACTCAGTCCCTGGGAATACTGAGTCCTGGGAGTACTGAGTACCAAACCCTCGGAGGTGCTGGTACTGAGTCTCTGGACACCAACTGCATGCTCTCCTCAGAGCCTGCTTCCCTCTCCCAGGAGCTGCTCCCACGTTTTGCCTCCTGCCAGCCTCTTGCCTCACAAGGCCAAGCTCCAGGCCACCCACCCTGCCCGCAGGTGCCGGCCCTTCCAGACCCCAGTGCCCACTTACACCACACGCTGCCCAGGAGGGCTGCACACAGGGAGGCCACTTCATCTGTGGGTGTCTGGGGACGCATGGGCCGACAGCACACAGAAGAAGGAATGGACAATGCCATGCAGAGGGGTAGCTGCGGGAGGAGGGAGGGAGGGGGCAGGGAGGCGGGAGGGGCAGACCTGCTTCAGAAGCTGAGAGGCGGAGCCAGGGGGCGTCTGCTCAGGAAGGGTGGGGGCAGCGATGTCCCCTCGCTGGACGATGACACGTGCTTTCGGGGCTGAGTCAGGAGGGCCCGGGTGTGACGTGACCCTCAGAGATAGTGCGGGGAAGCCCACATGCATCTGTGTGCGGCTGAAGTGGTGTCACATGTGTGCCTGTGTCACACGTGTGTGCTCCATGTAGCCCACCGGCCAGGCTGGGGGTGGTCCCTTCTGCCCAGCCGTGTTCCTGGTCCTGCTGGTGACCTGGAGCCAGATTGGAAGGGACCGACAGAGGGCACTTCCCAGCCTGACCCTCGGCGGGTAGGGAGTACCCCCGAGTGTAAGTGTAACCCTGATAACAATCATTGGGACACACTAGACCCACATTGTTTACCTGAAACTCCAATGGCACGAGGCGGCCGGCTTTGGCTTTCTGGAAGGGGCGTGCCTGAGCGGGGCAGGAATGTGGTTGGAGAAGGGACAGGTGGGGCACCCGCAGCACCGAAGTCTCGGCCGTGGGCGACTGGTGTGAGGGCGGTGAGCCGGGGCCTCGGGAGGGCGGGGGCCATGGCAGGAGCCTGGGGCCAAGGGCGGCCATGGTGGGAGGGGGTGCCCAGACCTGCCAGCAGTTGGCGTGAGGCGGGTCCTCTGACGGACACAGCCCCTAGATTGTCCCCCGAAACCCTCCTCCCTGGGGAGCTGCCACCGGGACGCAGGCTGAGGTCCCCGTCACCCGTGCCCACACGGCGTGCTCGGCGCTGTGCCGGCCATGGTGGGAGGGGGTGCCCAGACCTGCCAGCAGTTGGCGTGAGGCGGGTCCTCTGACGGACACAGCCCCTAGATTGTCCCCCGAAACCCTCCTCCCTGGGGAGCTGCCACCGGGACGCAGGCTGAGGTCCCCGTCACCCGTGCCCACACGGCGTGCTCGGCGCTGTGC